TTTCTCTCTCTCTCTCTCTTTTTTTTTTTTTTTAACTTTGAAGGGTATTCGTGGAAAGGCTGTTTTGGTTTTTTGCAGCTCTCATGGCTTCTTGGTACAAGATAGGTCTTCCTCTGAGCATTCTGTTCTGGAATGATGGTAGATACTAGGATCTGAGTGCTGAGTGTCTTCTGCATGTCTGAGGTGTCTGGTACCAGGGTTGCCTATTCCCCATGGGGTCACATAGAGTCAGATGCCAGGATCTGGGTGCTGGGTGTGTTCTGTTTGTTTGGGGTATCTGGTACCAGTGTTGTCTATTCCCCATGGAGTCACATAGAGAAAGATGCCAGGATCTGAGTACTGGGTGTCTTCTGCGTGTCTGAGGTATCTGGTACCAGTGTTGTCTATTCCCCATGGGGTCACATAGAGAAGGATGCCAGAATCTGGGTGCTGGGTGTCCTCTCCGTGTCTGGGGTATCTGGAAGCAGGGTTGCTCATTCCTCATGGGGTCACATAGAGTCAGATGCTCTTACAGAGTGTCTGCTTCCATGTGGGAGTCAGGCCTTGCCTTCAGTCTGCTTTGTGTTATTGGCTTGTTCAGTAGCAGCCATCTCCACAGCTCTTTGGGCAGAAGAAGAAAAAGTATGTGTTCCTGATCAGCTTGCTCCTTTCCTGATTTAGGACGAGTTTCGTTCATGAACAAGCATGGTGGGCACAGGCGGGTAGAGCCTGAGCCTCCTGGTGCAGTCTTCTCCAGGGTTTTGTCTTCCTTTCTTAGGCAGCTGGGTTTGGAGTTTATTGCATTAGGTCGCTCCCATGTCTTTGGTGCAGTTGGCTATTTTAGGGGTTGGTTTTATACTACCTTCTGCTCATTAGATATTAGAAGAGATTGTAGTGCTAATTTATTCTGTCATCTCTTGCTCTGAGGCCTCTGAGTGATGTGGTGGCCCTGCTCTGTGTGTGATACCTCCCAGCTTGCTCCAGGCCTGCTGTTCCCGACTGTCAAGCTTCAGTCTTCCATTTGAGAGTGTATTATAGACAGGTGGCCGGTTGCCTCGTTGTTGGGAGGTGGCTCCCAAATCTGTGTGAACACGTATGTTGAGAAGAGGGGCTGACCCCTGATCTGCGATACTACCAGCTCTCGCACTGCTCACCACGTCACCCGTTCTCTGCTTCTCCAGGTTGCTGGTCTGCACGTCATACTTTAGGAGGAGGAGAGAGTTGCATTTGGCCCTTTGCAGTAATTCATGCATCTGTGGTGGCCCCAAGTCCAGCGGTTGCAGTGATGTGTTTACAGTGCTCTGAGGTTGCCGTCAAAGGTGGTTTGTGTGTTATCTAAGAAACCACAGCTGTGGACTATGCTGTTTACCAGAACCCCAGTTAAGGCTGTGCCCAGTGGAAGCTCTGTGGGTTCCTGGGGTCAGGGAAGCCTTCGCAGAAGTACCTTGTGAGACGAGCGCTCCTCAGAGCCTTCGGGGAGGTCCCTCCAACTCCTTTCCCAGGATGGGTACTGGCCCGGCTGTGCACAGCCTACCTGCAACTCAGCCCGTCCCCTTTCTTGCCTTCCGTCTCTTGTTTGTTTGCCATTGACTCAATGACCAGCAAGAGCAGGGCCAGAATACAAATTAGAGTAGCAAGTCCACTGGGTGGTCTTCCTTATCTGTTACTTTCTGTTGGCGTGCTTGGGTGGGGCTTCACAGGAGCTATAGCTAGGCGCTGCTCCTGCACACTTAGGGATTTATTTGCAAGCCCTCCCCCTTCAGGAGCAGAGCACCACAGACTGACTGGTTTAAACACCCACTGATCATCTCACAGTGTTGCTGGTGGGAGTCGGGGTGAAGCATGACTGGGCCTCTGCTCAGGGTCTCACCAGGCTGTGTTCCTTCCTGGAGCTTGGGGTCCTTGTCCAAGCTCCATGGCTGTTGGCCAGAGCTGCTCACAGGCTCTAGAGCCCCCCACAGCTCCCTGCTGTGTGGTCCCCACCCACATGACAGCTCATTCCTCAAAGCAAGTAGGAGAAGCTCTTGTTACAGTTGCAGAGACGGATGCCTGATGTGAGTCATGGAGGTGACTCTCCCTTCATCTTTGCCACATGCCCTCACTATACCATGTTCACAGTTCTGCCTCACTCAGGGAGGGGGTTGTACAGGGCAGAACATCAGGGGTGGAATCTTGGGGCCATCTCTCAATCCTGCCTGCTCCCCTCTGGAGAAGGGCTCCTGGAAACCCGAGTGCCCAGTGGCGTCCGGGTGGGTGTCTGCTGTGTCTCCCCTCAGGCAGAGCCCCTGTACTGGACACATGGGTCTGTGGAGCCCGTCATGGGCCCGTGTGCACCCTGCTTACTTGTCTCTTGTTGGGTGGCTGTGCCTTGCTGTTCATCAGCTAGCCCAGAGTATTTCCAAATGCATTTCACAGAAAGAGGTCTCCATTGCTCACATAATGCCTGTAAAGCTTTTGAAAACCTGAATATTCTTTTGTATAATTTGAGGTTGACGCAATGAATTGCACTAGTTGAAAAAGGTGTAATTTCTGGCACATTGTTAGATTGACCTTTAAAAGTATAACTGTGTCAATACCTTTAAAATATTTCTAATAGAATATGAATTCTACCTTCCATTTCAAGAAATCCATGAGCGGGCTACTGACAGCATCATCCTTTTTAGTTTTTCACTTCTGTCTCCATGTCGCTGCCCTCACAGAGTTCTGCCCTGTTAACAAGACTGTTGTACTCCTTTGGGACAGAAATTTATTTCCTGTGACCATAAGGCTGTAAGGGTTAAAAACACTTCTGGATTGAGTTCTCATTACAATTATTAGTAGTCCACAATTCTCAAAACCGTGTAAACATTTGTAACTAGTTAATAATAAATAATAAAATGCATTGTGATTATATCTCGTGAAGAGGTGGTTGGGGCTCCCTTTTCCAGTTCCTGAGTCCATGGACAGTTGCGACATTTTGCTTTGGTGGAGACAGGGTTCGGCTTCGACTCTCTTTCTGGTTCTGATTTTTACGTGGTTCATACAAGCCAGTGTCTAGGAAAGGAAAGAGATTTATTATAGCAATGTTCCTCAGTTGCATGCCAAAAATCTTAGTGATCTAACCTCAAAAATTATTTTAATGATCTGTGAGCTGAAGATTCAACTAGGTCTTCCTTCAGTTTTGTTGAAAGCAAAGAATTGTAAACTAGCTCTCTTCCCAAGGAGATATCAGTCAACAGTTGAGGCACTCACTCTTTCACGCCCACACCAGCATCTCACACTGACCCCTGGTTTGCTGCCAGGGTTCTCCACATCCTGGTCAAGGCACCCTGGTGTCAGTGTGGACGGGTGAGTGGGAATTTTTTTTTAAGCAGGGAAAAGAGCTTTGTGAATGAGAACACCTTGACCAGATGTGTTCTCCCCAGGGAATCGTTTTTAAGAAATAGTACATTCTGGAAGGTGAGGACCTGGAAATGAAGTTGCTGAGAGAGATCCATTTCCACAACCCCCCTGGGCCTCCTGTAGGGACACACCTCCTCCAGTTCGAAGCTGGTTGCCTCAGAGCATTATTTCCTTGATCTTCAGGGAAAAAAAGGTCTATTCAGTCAAACAACTTGGCTAAATGATGGCATGAACACATTTTAATCTATTTATTTCCTTCAGGACTTCTCAGACCTCTAATGTTTAAAGTCCATTGTAAATTTCCATTAGGGAATGATTGTCTACTTGGCAGCTCATGGAACCTGGGAGCAAGAGAGTGTGTGCATGTACATGTGTGTAGGGTCTTGGGGACACCAGTGTTCCATGGAGTACACTCTGGGAAAATACCAAATGCATACAGACTATCTTAGTCTCCTGTTTCATATCTGTGAGAAGCCATGAAGTTGTCAAAAAGTCTCTAAGTAACTCAGTAACCGAATCAGAAGTCTCCTGAGTTACTTTTGATACCAGGCCTGTGAGTAGGTTGCGAGGATTTGGAGGATTATTTTAGATGCCACTTGAGAACAACTAGAAGAGTGGAAAATATAATTATGCCTTTGCTGGAAATGCAGCTGATTATTTTTGTATTTTAGAAGACCATACCATGGTCCTGAGACTTGTTTTGGATATGAAGCAGTGCTGGTTTTGCTCCTGATCTGGGGTGTGGGTGGTTGGTGGTAGTGTGGCATGACACTGGACTAGATTCCATGTGTGTTTCTGGGGACACAAAATCATCATATTTAAAAGCAACCTCCCCCTGACCTCAGGTTGATTGTTGGAGGGTGAAATTCAAGAGCGATATTTTCTTCTTGGTTAGTATTGCTCTGCATTTCAAGTGACATAGTTCTTTCCCTCCCCAGCATCTTACAACAAAGTTTAAGATGCCAAGGGTTAAAAAAGTAATGATCGAAAACTCTAAATGACAATGTGCTTTGGGATTAAGCGGTGTCGGTTCCTGTGTATTTATATGTGTTCTTGCTCCCTTGAAGAGGCTGCCTGTTAAGAGTTTGATGATTCCCAGATTAGGGTTCCATCCACTTGTACAGTTGTGCTTCAGAGCAAAACTCGGGGCCCTCTGGTTGTACTTCATGCACTTTCCCAGTGAAATCTCGAGGCAATCAATGTCATGTTCTTCTGCCAGTAGTCCCTACTGGGTGTTTGCCCTTTCTTTGCAGAGCACCAGCATTCTGGAAGGGTAGTGACAAGCGGAGCGATTGTAAAAGTCTAAGTTTGGTTGGGATGGAATGAGTAAAAATATCATGCAAGCGTACGACTTTTAGGAACCTTAACTGTACCCCGTAACAACTTGTGCTCACTGAATCTACTCTACAGAATGTAAAAATTCCTAGTCCAACTTTCCTGTTATCTATTAATCAACAGTCAGGCAAGTTAAACTGTCAGAATCCCGTGTCCAGTTTATTTCCACCAAGTATGATGGGGTCACCCCCTCTGTCAGTGCAGGCCACTGGGAGTTGATTGTATTGAATTACTCTTGTGTACCCTTGCAATGAACGTTGTTGTGTTAAGGTCTTCTTTTTCTTTGTGATTCTTTTGTTCCATAGCGTCGTCCCCCAGACTACAGTAATACTCAACAATGATCGGCAGAACGCCATTGTAGCCAAGATGGACGACCCCTTGAGCAACAGGGCACCGGATTCCCTGGAAAATATCATTAGCAAGTCAGTAGCCACAACACCAACCCCACCTTCCACTGCCACTGCCACTCTGACGAGTCCCGCAGGAATAAGTGAGCGAGCCCACGCTGAGGCCCGGGCGGAGCTCACTGCTCCTTTCTGTGACCCATGGCGGCGCGAAGGGGATGCACGCATGTTACCTGGAGGCTGGCCGTGCCACTTCCAGGGCTCGTGTCCTTGTTACTAGGTGGACCAAGTGCGGGACGTGAAGGGAGACGTGACATTTTTGAACTCCTGTGTCTAATGTTCACATGTGTAACAGGGAAGTCACTTTGCATTTTCACAACAGTAAGATGAAGCTGCTACTCCTCTCACCTTGCTCATTGATTACTTAAGTCTGTCTGTCTCTGTACAGCAGCTTGTCTGGTACACAGATACCGTCCTTTAATTTGTGAAGTGACACAGGCATTTTGAGTTCGTGACTTTTTTCTTATACCCTTTCTCTTAAGACATTTTGAAGGCATGCTTGCTGGGAAGTGAGAGTGAGCAGAGACCCCACCTTGTGTGGAGCTGAGTTCAGAGCCAGTGGCCTGCCTCCTGGTCTACCTCCACCTCTCCTACAATACCCCTGAGGGGACTTTTGTGCTTTCGTCCCAGTCTGTGTCTTCACAGAGTTCTATTTTGGCTTTTCTTCTCCCGATTTTTCCTGTTGTCTTGATTGTCTTAGCTTACTTATCTAGCATTCTTGAGGGACAGATGTGTTGGAGTGAGGGAGGCAAGATGGTGGCGTTACTGGTGTGTCTGGTCCTCAGAGGCAGAGGAAGCCTGATAGTGGAGAGGAACACAGGTTGGACGTGTTTCTTGCGGGATTTGGGTGAGGGCAGCCCATCAGATGCCTAGTTTCCAGGGGAAGATTCAGTGTGGACAGTGGTCTGTGGAAGCCAGGCATGGAAACCGCAGTTCCCGCCTTCAGTTGTGGCCATCATTTTAAACATCCTTTGACTTTGCAGTCACGGAAATTGTGCTTCTTTCCCTGTTCTCTGTTCAGCATGCCAAGTTAAGGAATGTCGGAAGGGCCATTAAAAAGGCAAGTAAGAAGTTTCCAGATAGCCCTTCCCCCTTTTGGAGAGATTTCTGGAGATGGCTACAGTTGTGTTTTGCAAACAGTATTTATTGCCTGTCTCAGGAGCTGCCATGGTGGCAAGACTGTCTCCTGGGTTTCTTGACTGGCCTGAGTCCACCTCAGGGTTTTTGGTCAGTGGGATAATCAGGAGGAGTGCTGTCATTTCCAGAATGTCCAATGCTGTGCATTGAACCGGTTCAGTGTAATTCTCCAAGTGCACTTCCCCTTGATCTGGTTCTTCCTAGAACTTAGCCCTAAAACATTAGTCTTACTCAGATGTCACCATTTGTAGCATGGTCTTTGAGATCAGAAGGCACATTCTAGGCCTTGAGTTACACAAGTTATGATTTTACTTTTGTAAAATGGACATTTTTTAAAAACTTTGAAGTTTTGTACAGTTTCTTCCAACCCCAGACTATTTTCTGCTATGAAATTGCTGTTAATCTTGAGAGAGCGCATGTGGGCAGGCTGTGTGGTCCCGGCTGGGGTGGACTGTGCTGAGGAGAGGAGAGGAGGCGTCCAAGGGGTGCACGCGTTGGGCTCCTGTGGTCTGGCTGCTCTCACCATGCGGGCTGGCATTCTGTTTCCCTTCCAGTGCAGTGCCTGGGCGTCGGCAGAACACCATTGTGGTGAAGGTACCTGGTCAAGAGGACAGCCACAACGAAGATGGGGAGAGTGGGTCTGAGGCCAGCGACTCTGTGTCCAACTGTGGGCAGTCGGGAAGTCAGAACATTGGCAACAACGTCACCTTGATCACCCTGAACTCCGAAGGTGAGTCTCACAAAGCCTTTCCTTCCCTTTGTCACAAAAGTACAGGAAAATAGTATGTGTTTGTTTTAAAACACTGATATGATACAACAATGGTGAAAATCACCCAAATTCCACTGCCCAGAGATCTCTGTCAACCTTCCAGGCCTTTTCTGTGTCTGTTAACGTACATGCTATGTTTATGATTTTATAACCTACTTTTTTCCAATGAACCCACTGCTGTTGGGTGATTCCGACTCATAGTGACCCTATAGGACAGAGTAGAACTGCTCCAAAGGGTTTCCAAGGCTGTAATCTTTATGGAAACAGACTGCCACATCTTTCTCCCATGAACCGCTGGTGGGTTTGAACCACTGCCCTTTTGGTAAGCAGCTGAGCACTTAACCACAGTGCCACCAGGCCTCCTTTTTCTTCCATACGTAGTAAAAATCCACATTAATGAGGGCAGATTTCATAATCCTTGGTGATTTAATCTGGTTCTGGATGCTTTCTGCTGATGGGCATTGTAGTTTTTCATTTTTATAACTGCCAGTAGCATTGCTGCTCTGAAGCTGGGTCCTCTCACCTGTCTGATGAGTGTCAACATCGACTGGAAGAAGTAGATTGAGGGTCTGGGATGAAAACCACATTAGCAGTAATTGCAGAGAAAAATAGCTGCTGCTGTTCTTTTTCCACGTGGATTTTGGTACATAGCCACATATGTCAGGTTACTCACGTTAGGCCTGAGGTTCATTTGGTTTAAAATTTTTCCAGCTAAGAAACAAAAAACTTCATACTTTGGGGGAGTCAGGAGTTATCATAGAAACCAAAATTTTCATCCTTTTTATTTATGTTTCTTAATGTAATATGGTTAATGTGAAATATATTTCAGTTGAGGAAAACAACGGACTGACTTTCAGATGGAACTTACAAAAGGGGATAAAATCTGGAGGGAGCTTACTTAGTACTCCTAAAGAAAAAAATCACTTTTTCTTTTTATCTGAGTCTAAGTTCTTTAAATATGAGATGATGCTCTTTGGGGGAAACGATTCTTACTTAGCAAAGGGTTTGAGCAAAGTTTTGTAACCACTTTTAAAATTAATTGTTTCCACCAAACTTAACTTTGATGAGTAACACAGGTTGTTAAAATTGGGGCAAATTAGAAAGAAATTTAATTTTGACTTTATTTTGAGGAGAAAGAAGTAATAACTCAGAAGCAGTCTGTTATCACTCCATTAGGAGGAAAACTTTTTGTAATCGGTCTGTTTCACCGACTTCTGTCCTTGGGAATGTACGTCCCCCTAGTGTTTCAATGTTACAAAAATATCTGCTGAGGCGCCTTATTTGACCCTGTGGTTTGGTGAAGATTATACAGAGACAGATGGAGTCATCTGTAAGTGATTGCTGTATATGTAAATATTGGAAAAATAACTAATCCTTTAACATCTCTGCTACCAGATTTGCTATTGACCTGCACTGGCATCATCTGATAAACATTTCCATGAGATGGATGAGGCTCTGAGAACTGGACTAGCAGTTTTCCCTGCCCATGTGCTCCCCTTGACTGGAAACCATAGGCCCAGCTGCAGAGAATGCTAAGTGAGCCAGTTTATATTAGAGAGTGCATTATTAGCATGAGAAGTGCTGAAGGGCAGAGGCTTGTCTTTACAGTTAGTCAGTTTTGTTCCTCATAAGAGCCTAGGGTTGAAAGCACACAGCTTGTTCTTATTTTCTTATAAAAGTAGTTCAGTACCTGAAGTTCTTGAGGACCACAGGTTTCAAAATGGCTATTTCTTAAGAATCCCAAATGGTCTGCATGAGTTGGCACCTTAGAGAAAATCGAGAGTCACTTTACTATCCGGAAGAGGTACCATATCATTGTGTCCTAGCTTTTTGCTTAGGCATTTCCATTTGCCTTGGCATAAAGTCTGTTTGAAGACGACATCTCCTGGTCATTCCGAACAGTGCACAGGAAACATGTTTCTCAGTTCTCTTCAGTTGACTGGTTAGGCGTTAGTACTCATCTTTGTTAAGTACTGAAAATGTATCGTTAGGTGCTGTCAAGTCAGTTTCGACTCATAGCAACCCCATGTGACAGAGTAGAACTGCCCTGTAGTGTTTTCCAGGCTGTAATCTTTACGGGAGCAGATTGCCAGGTCTTTCCTGTCGCGGAGCAGCTGGTGGGTTCGAACCCTTTAGGTTAGCAGCTGAGCACCTAACTGTTGCATCCCAGGGCTCCCCACTGAAAGTGTATGGTATGTGGTTATTCCCAGGTAAAGCTGGACAACTGAGCTAGAGAAACAGATGAGGGAGAATGGATTGAGGATGGAATCAGTTAATTAATTAAAGGATTTAGACAAATTAATTAGGAGTTAAAATTCCTACTGTGTACGGATTTCGTAATTCTTACAAAACGACTAACCATACATACAAAAGTGTTGTGTACTTAATTTTAATGGGGGAAGCATTGTACTTCAGGTATAATTGAATTGTTGTCTGGAATTGGCCCTCTGAATGCTCCAAAGCCCCGTGACCTGTATGGTAAATAGCTGTGATGTGCTACGCGGGGCAGCAAAAGAAGGACGGGAGAAGCAGTTCGTTGTGGGAGATTGCCAGGCCTAGGAATGGAGAGCTCTTTGTGTTTTATGGGATGTTGATAATACAATATGTTCTGAAATAAAACTAGTGAACGTTGCAAGTGTGTTCACAAAAAAACAGCCTTACTTACGTAAAGAAAATCCTGCTGAAAAAACTTCTTAAAAATTTATGTATGTGATTTATTTTACATAAAGTTTATTTTATATACATTCTTTAGGAGTTTGATAACATCAGTGCACATTATTTGTGGTAGTCATAAACTGGCTGCTAAGAAGAATAGGGTTACAGACAAGGTAGGGACCAAAATAAAGCCAAATTAATGAAGAGAAAATAGTCTAAGAACATACAAGTGGGTTCTTGAGCATGAGCACATAGTGATATTGTTCATCCTGCATCAGAAAGGGTGGTCATGAAAGGGTGTTCTAGAACACTAACTGTAAGGGGGCCGTCATTTTGACAACTCTCATGTATTTACAGAATTGGCAGCATGTGACATTAATTAGGGACACCATGTCTGTGCTCAGCGGTTCACTGTCCTTCATGCCAAAGACTGAGATGTTTTTGGACACGCTCGTTAATCAGAGTTGAGGCTCATGACATAAGCAGTTCAGGAGATCAGACGTGGCCCTTCCATAGAAAGAGGCTCTTGTGGTTCTTGCTGTGAGCTGAGGTGGGGACGCTTGGCCGTGGGACATATGCAGCAGGCCTGGCTCACGCGCTTTGCCCTCCAGTCAGCCGGGAGGTCATGTGGCTTCTGGGGAGGAACGCCTGGCTGTAGACCAAAGACTGTTTACTTTTTCTCTTCTATGTCATTCTCCTATATGGAACTTACTCTATTGAGTTGCCAGTTTAAAAACCCACGTTATCACTCTATTTTATAGCTTACTTGTTGCTGTCAAGTCGACTCTGACTCATGGTGACCCCGTGTGTTACAGAATAAACTGCTCCATAGGGTTTTCATGGCTGTGATCTTTATAGACGCAGATCACCAGGCCTTTCTTCTGTGGTACCACGACATGAGTTTGAACCGCCAGCATTTAGGTTAGCAATTAAGTGCAGTGTTTGCTCCACCTCAGGACCTCTTTTATACCTTAAAGATGTCAAATTTCTCCAAGTAAGTGTGGGTGTTGGGGCTACAGGCACAAAGTTAACTATATCTAAAGACAGAAAGGTGGGCACCCGTTCTTACGTTATAGTTTGGTTTGGGGTAGAGTGGCCCTGGACATGTTTGCGCCCTGATGTTCGTATGCAGTGATGCAGCCTGACAGCTGTCAGGGGATTGGCCTTGGATTTCCCCTTCTGTGGATTCCATGTGGACGTAGTCTGTATCACTGTTCGTTGTGGGAATTATTTCTCTCGTTTCATACAGTGTGTTGCCTGTGAAATTCATAAGCAGTTTGTGTGTATCTTTACACAAGCAAGATGAAAATTAATTTTTGATAGGGATGGAACATAGAACCCTCTACTAGCTCATAACCTTGAATCTGTTCTCTGAAAACTTTCCTGACAGTGGTTGAGGGCTGCGCCTGAGGAATTTCATTGATGTGAAGCTGACTGTGTTGTGAACAGCTGTGGTGTAAGCAGTGAATCATGAAGTTTTCCTTTCTTTTAGTTTGCTCCTTGACCATGGGTAGAGACTGAAATGTCTCATTAGTTGTCTCTCTTGGTGGCTGCTGAGTGCTGAATATGGAGAGTCTCAGTCACACTAGTGGAAAACCAGCAAACGATGACAAGCTCTCTACTCGGGGGTAAGGGGGCACGCAGCCGAAACCCACAGTGTGTCCATGCGGCATGCACTTAGAGTTGTAACCTGGACTCTGAGATGCTTGATGTGGCTGACAGTGTGGGATGCTGTAGGCAGAAACCATGCTGTCCCTGGAAAGGACTCTGTGGGAGTGAGGTGGTGTAGTTATGGCTGATAGCTCTCCCGTGGCCTGACTCAGTCCCTCCCAAGGCCCTAGGTGTGCAGGTGTTTGCAGGCCTCATGTGGGGAGAGGGGGCAGACCTTCACCAGATTTGTGCAGGCCTCACCGAGAGTGCAGACCCTCATGTGCAGGCCTCACTGGGTGTGCATAGGCCTCACTGGGTGTGCAGACCTCATTGGATGTGTGCAGACCTCACTGGATGTGTGCAGACCCTCACCAGGTGTGTGCAGGCCTCACCAGGTGCACAGGCCTCACTGGGTGTGCATAGGCCTCACTGGGTGTGCGCAGGCCTTACCAGTGTACAGACCCTCACCAGGGTGTGCAGACCCTCACCAGGTGTGCAGACCCTCACCAGGTGTGTAGACCCTTACTGGGTGTGCAGACCCTCACCAGGTGTGCAGATCCTAAATGGGTATGCAGGTTTCACTGGGTGTGTGCAGGCCCCTCCGGATGTGTGCAGAACATTATTCATGTGCACAGGCCTTACCAAGTACGCGGGCT